TATATCGCTTACATTAAAAAAAAAAAATGGCAGGAAAAAGCCGGAAGCCTGAGGCTTCCGACGGAAGTGTCTCTGCAACGTTGGAGAGCGATCAGACGCCGAGGTGCACCGTTTACAACCGTTGCACTCAGTTTACCACCACTTAGGACCTAGTGGCAGAGTACAACGGTGTAAAGGGCTTTACACCGGTTAGGGACAGGAGGCAGATGTTCGTCGTGTGAACGCCGGTGAGTACACCGGTTGCAACCGGAACCCTAACCGATGTAAAGCCCCCGTCTGAACGCACCCTCTGTGTCACACAGTGGCCAAAAATACCAGTGCCATCAGGAGGTCCACCAGTGGGAGCCGGCCGCTGAAGTGAGGAGGAGGGACAGAATCTCCGTGCAAAATGCATCGGGGTTATTAACACATTGGAATAAAATCTTCTCCCCACTGCACCATTGAACACGCATGAATCTGCCTTACACTGAATCATACCCGTGGTCCATCAAGGCCAGTATTGTCTCCTCAGAGTGGAGGCGGCTCTCCAGGGTCCCAGGCAGAGAGGGGTCTTTCACATCACTTACTGCCTGGTCCTTTTTAACTGGAGATGCTGGGGATTGAACCTGGGACCTTCTGCATGCCAAACAGATGCTCTACCTCTGAGCCATGGCACCATCCGTTTTTTTTCTTTGTCTCTTTGCTCCAATTGATATGACCCTTGGTTTTCTTCTTGACATAGGGTTGCCAAGTCTGGCAACTGACGGGAGGGCTAGGAGCAGGACATGGTGTGTGTGTGATGTTGGCAATGTTGCCAGTGTTGCTACGTGATTTCTGGGTAATACCTGGAAGAGGCGAAGAGTAGCTCTGGGAATTGCTCAAAACTCCATGGTGAAACCATAGATACTGTGAGTCTGTGCCATCAAGATCATGACAAAGGTATGACCTCACTGGTGTCAAGACCAAGGCCATAGGCAGCAGACCAAGAATGCTGGGGCCAGGTAATGTAAACGGAGACTAGGAAGTGTATTGTAATGAGGAAGGTGCCATGCTTCAGAGCTGCAGAGTAATCCTCTCTGTGCCCGGTTTGCATCATCTTTCTGTTCCTCTCAGGGTGCGTCCAGACGGGCCGTTTAGTCTGCTTTCGGCCCACCTCAGAAACGGATTTTATCTGCGCAATCACACAGCCAACATATGCCTCCCGTCCCCAGCTGTCGCTTTCTGGCTCAAAACTACTTTAACCCGGAGTATTTTGACATCACGTCCCCAAGTGGTGTTTTCCTGATTCTCTGGTTCCAGCTGCACTTTTCTGATGTCTGATCGCTCCTGCGGTGTCGAGCCACTTCCGGTTTAAACCCCCTCCCTGCTCGAAAGCTGCCCGAGGCTTCCGCTTTTCGCCTGCCATTTTAAAAAAAGTGTTGGCAGTGTGCGCATAGGCGGAGGTCTGCCACCGTTTTATTACAAACAATGTTTAAATGGTGCCTAGTTTTAGCATTTAGATGAGTTCGGGATCTCACGGAGGCCATTTTCGGGGTAAACATTTAAAGGGAAGTGTTACAGCAGCAAAAATTTTAGTTCTACAGATGGCTGCCTGTGCACATGCCCAAACTGTAAGAGAGAGAAAACCAACACCCACGCACGCTCCCACGTGTGGACGGTGGGGAGCGATGTGGCCGTGCAGCGATCTGGAGCAAGGAGGTGAGCGTGATTGCGATTCTCTAGGTTAAAAAAAACAAACGCATCAGGGCCGGAGCAATTTAAACCACTCCCAGCACGCCGTCTGACCGCACCCTCAGTGTGTGTGTGTGTAAAGAGAAGCTCGAGTGGTGGCCCTCTTGCTCTCGGTGCAACTGAACTAGCAGCAGGTCCTTCCAAAAATGGCAGCTCTGGAAGGGCTTGCACCCAGGAGGTAGGACTCCATAACCCACATGAGGAGTCTCAGCCAATATCTGGGTGGAAGAAGATCAGTGACCTAAGTGAGGCAGATCTGCAATAATTTGCTGTTAATTTGCTGTTCGGCCCCTGTCTGTAAGTTTGGACCTCACCTTCCTTCCAGTGTATTTGAAAAACTTGCATGCATACGAAAGCTCATACCTTGAATTAAACTGTGTTGGTCTTAAAGGTGCCACTGGACTCTAAATTTGTTCTACTGCTTCAGACCAACATGGCTGACCACCTGGATCTATCTGCAATAATATGTCCCCTTTCCTCTCCACTAGCTGGTCCTAGACAACCTACTCTCAAGGGGGAGGGGGGGCAGCGCGAAAATACATTCGTAGGTCTCAGTTGCTTCTTGAATTCATGATGGCAGTGGTACATCAGGGATGTTTCTCTCTCCTCCAGGAACAAAGCAGACGGTGGAGAGCAGGAGAGCGGATAGCGTGTGCTACATCCTGAGTTGTTCGGTCTCAGTCGAAAACATCCAGCACTCTGTGGTCAGGTGGTGGGAAGGCAAAAAGGAGCTTCAGGGTGAAGAGAAGAAAGGAGGAGTCAGCGTTTTCAAAGGGGAAAGGACCTCACAACTCCACATTTGTGTGAAAAAGGAGACAGCTGAAGAGGGGACGAGGCCCAAGGAAAGGAGAGTGAAGTGTGCTTTTGCTGACCACTTGGGGATCGCCTTCAATTTGACCGGTAAGAGCTGGGATGCTGGATTCGTGTCGGGGTTTGCTGTCCTTCCTTTCGGGTTGGGGGTGGCCAGGTGTTTGGTTTATGCTACGACTCGATACAAATTCATTTCATAACAAATGAATTCTGTGGAACGTTTGAAGAGTATTGTGTAGTGGGTTGCCGCATGGAGAAACTACACACGACGACATAGTGCATAGCACGCTTTATTGGTACACAACAAGACAAGAGACAAACGGCCGGCAGGCCAACTATATACACGACCAGGGGACCACCCCTGGGTCCCATTGGCGGGTTTGAATCTCCCGCCACGGTCCCATTGGTTCCCCCAGTGGAGGGACTAGGATCCTAGTCCCCATTGTTGTCCAGGACTGAAGCTCAGGCGTGTGCGCTGGCCTCCGGTGGTGGTCAGTGGACACAACAAAGAGTAACCCCTTTGTCTCTCCTCAGTGAATTTCCTGATTCCCCCCCCACACCCAGAGTTGTTTCAAGCCCCACTCCCCCCACCCTGCTTTATTTTAAAGCCTCCGATGGTTGTCAGGAAGAAAAATGTGGTGACCAAGGGTTTCCGCGAGGGAGTGGAATTGCCGAACTCATGAGATGTCTTTCTAGTGGAGGGTGGCCAATCAATCAATCAATCAATTTATTTATTTATTTATTTATTTATTTTTCACATTTGTATCCCGCCCTCCCCGATGGGCTCAGGGTGGCTAACAGGGGCAAGGTAACTAGCCTTGCCATAATTAAAACATATAAAACATCATAAAACCATCCAGCAATTAAAACAACGATGCTCAGTCAATTACTAATATCAAACGATGGAGTCAACATCGTCCCAGGTGGTACTCCCACGATATTTCTGCCCAACGGCTACGGCTCATCGAGATCTTCCTTACATTTTCCAGGTTCTTCATCAGGGCCTCGTCATTGCATCCATTCAAGATACCATGACGGTGGTGGTATAGTACGGCGGCGGCTCCTACTCAAACGCCTGGCGGAACAGCTCCGTCTTGCAGGCCCTGCGGAACTGCATAAGGATCTCCCCCGGGAGCTCATTCCACCAGGTAGGAGCCGCCACCGAAAAAGCCCTGGCCCTGGTCGCAGCTAATTTGGTAGAAGAAGAAGAAGAGAGAAGAAGAGTAGAGATTGGAGTTATACCCCACCCATCACTACCCAGAGGAGTCTCAGAGCGGCTTACAAACTCCTTTCCCTTCCCCTCCCCACAACAGACACCCTGTGAGGTAGGCGGGGCTGAGAGAGCTCTGACAGCAACTGCTCTTTTTCAAGAACAGCTCTTATCAGAACTACGGCTTGCCCAAGGTCATCCAGCAGGTGCAAGTGGAGGAGTGGAGAATCAAACCCGGTTCTCCCAGATTAGAGTCTGCGCACTGAACCACTACACCAAAGTGGTGACTTATGGCAAGCCCTGGTGGGCTTTTCAAGGCTGGAGATGAACCCTTGCCTGCCCCTGTTCAGTAACCCTGGACTTCCTTGGTGGTCTCCCATCCAAGTACTAACTAGGAAACCTTCCTGCTTAGCTTCAGAGGTATGATGAGGTCATCCAGATCAGGATGAACCCACTAGAAAAAAGCAAGCCAGCCTGTCTCCCCCCCCCCCCCCCCCTTCACACCTTCTGGGCCAGATAAGAGAAGCTTTTGTAAGAAATACCCAGAAATCTGGCAGCACTTTAGTGTCCATGCTTCAATAGCACATTCCAAATGTGAGTGCTGGGTTGCTGACGTTGGACCCTAGAACATAACTTTGCATACTGTTGTGTGACCGATGGCATCTGCATGCGCTGCCTCCATAGAGTTGTCTCTCTCTCTCTCTCCCCTCGCTAGGTTCTTTTGAGTTTAGGGTAAGCCGGAAGAAGAAGGAGTAGGTGGCATCAGAGTAACAGGACATTGGGGCAATGGCAGCGCTAGAGTCTCCAGCCCAATGCAGCGTGTGGTTTGGTGTGGCGGTTAAGAGTGGCGGACTCTAATCTGGAGAACCGGGTTTGATTTCCCCACTCCTCCACATGCAGCCAGCTGCGTGACCTTGGGTCAGTTGCAAGTTCTCTGAGAGCTGTTCTCTCATGAGTAGTCTTCAAGAAAGCTCTCTCAGCCTCACCTACCTCACAGGGTGTCTGTTTTGGGGAGGGGAAGAGAAAGGAGACTGTAAGCCACTCTGAGACTCCATGGGAAGGGTGGAGTATAAATCCAATCTCTTCTTCTTCCTCTGACCCACAATGCAACCTAAGGGCATATAATAAATAAATAATAATAAATAAATAACTGAGGACAAACTTAGAGATAACGGATGCAGAAATGAACAGAGGTCTTTTGCCATTAGGTCATCCTGATTTGCCCCTGTTGGCAACTGTAGTCTCGTCTGCTGGGGAGAGACCGGGGCCTGCATTTCAAGGATTTGTTCTCCTCTGGTGTCTTTCCCTTGATACGCAGGAGTAGCAAAAGATTGCCTATTGATGTGCCCTAATACAACTCGGTGCCTGGAAAGTGGAGGGCATGGTGGCACCTGGATCCCACTGGCTGCATGTGTCACACTGCAGTTAGTCATCATTCTTGCTCTGGGGCTGGCATTGTGGAGGAGGAGACACTGGTAAGTCAAGTTCCTATGAATGGGGGCTGGGGGAGGTTTAGTATTAACCTTATGATTGGCATGGGGTGGGGTGAAGATGTAAGCGTAGGACCACGAGGAGCTGTTCTCAGTGAGAGCAGATAATACTGAGCTTGAATAACTATTGATCTTAGGGTGAAGACAGTATACCTCCCCCCCCAGTGTTAGAGCAGAAGGTGTCTATTGGCTAGAACCTGTAACGTCACCAACATAGGTCCACAAAATCTTTGTGAGTTTAGGGTGGGGGATTAAGGAGAAAAATGGACTTATAAACAAATTATATTTACTTTCTTTTTTAAAAAATATGAAAGTGCATGAGGTCTGCCTAAAGTATGGGTGTACCAGGGAGATCTAAGACTGAAAGTATCCGGTTTGCAAGCCAGGAAAGTCATGAAGCCAAATTCATTTTGTGGGGGAAGAATGCATAGTTTCTGCTGTCTGCCCTAACTCTGAGAATGTGCAAAACTGTTGCCAGTTAGCAGGGGTCATTTCGTAGAAAAGGAGGTGCAGGAGCCCATTAGCACAACTCATTAGCATAACTCATTAGCACAACTTATTTGCATATGACACACACCCTGACATCACCGGAAGTGTGTCAGAAGGCAACACCCACCGCTCAGGCTCCACTGGACTGTTTTGGATTCCTAGCTAATTGGGGGGGGGGGGGGGGAAAGCGGGGAG